CCGATTATTTTTCAAAATTTTGGAGAAAACTTGAGTAGGAATTCTTATAAATGCATAGTTTGTGTTGAAGAGTCTACAAGGACTTATAATCACGGAAGAGGATCCGGTTAGGATCTCTCTCATCAAAGGCTAGGATCAAGTGATCCGGGCCGTTGAAATTTAATTCAACGACTACAAACAGGGGACTCCTCTAAAAGTTATAATAATTGTAGCCGTTGAATTAAATTTCGACGGCCTAGATCACTTGATCTTGGGCCTTTGATGGGAGAGATCCAGATCAAATCCTCTTCCTATAATCACAAGTGTTATGTATTCATTAGTCAATGCATGTCACTCATTTTCTCACGTGACAAGGAAAGCGCCACAAATTGGAATTTGGATCTTCTCTGGATTTTAGCGTTCGGAGCTTAAGGACCAAGAAATTTGGGGCCCTTGGTTTGTGTGAAAGAGAAATCGAAGCTCTTGGTTTGTGTGAGATGGGTTAGCAAAATGAGTTATTGGAGATCGTTGGATTCAATTTGACTTGTCCAGATTGCTTGATTCTTGAGCTTCAGACAATGAGATTCGGAGAGGAAAATTGTTTCTATATTTTTTCTTGCGCCAATTGGATTGTCCCACAGCTTTTTCTTTGATTACCAAGTTCTAACCACAACTTTAATTTTGCAAAATTGGGTGGTTAACGTATGTAGAAATGAGTTCATGTGACAATTTGTTAGATATACACACCATAAAAATAAAATACGACTACTAGTAGATAAGCATGGTGTTGTCTCCTTTCGTCCCTTTTTTTTTTTTTTTTTTTTTGTCTTGGTAACAAAAACAAAACAAGATGATACCCACTACCCACCACAGGTCCCAAATAGCAATTTCCGAGCTCAATTGTGTATTTACCAAGTGGGTCTCAATTTTTACCTTATTGTACAAAAGCTTGAAAATATGTATAACTTTGGTAATTGGTACCCACTTCCTCTTCTAGAACATGGCCTTCATTAAATGTGGATTGTCAATCAAGGAACCCACATCACATTGATGGTCCTACACTTGATTTTAAAGCTAATTTTGGGATTACTTAAACAAACAAACACAAAAGATAGACTTAAGGTGAAGAGAGTGCCAATGAGAGCAAAGGCATATTTGTTAAATTTAGAGATGTCATTGCTACCAAACTACTATGAAGATTTAGTAATTAACTAATTTAAGTTATGGTTACTATAAATAATTTTAATGAAATTTAAGGTGCCTTAACTACAACATATACTTGACATAAGTTTATGTATACCTGCATTTCTAAATGATCGTGTATATCTATACCTACGAAAATTTTCTTAATTACGATATTTGTAATTTCTGCATACTTATGTAGAACTATTTTTAGACGGAAAATACTAGTGTTATGTTGACAAGGTTTATCTCTTTTTTGTTTTGTTTGTGTTGACACGGTTCATCTAAATTAAACAAGTATGCTACGTCTTATGGTTTTGTATATCCATCTATATGGGTTCATCTAAATTAAACAATTATGTTATGTCTCATGGTTTTGTATATCCATCTATATGGCTTGAATTCGTAGTAAATTCTATTTCGTTAAGAACAGTTGAATCAGTTTTATCATATTTCATATACGTATGGTGCAATAAAAAAAATGTCCAACTCCAAGTTATTAAAGAAAATGACTATATTTTTTAAAACCTATGCTATCGACTCCTAGGCTAAAAATGGCCAAGGACTTATGGGCTGGTTCGAATTTGGCCCCATTTTTTGAGGTGTGAGCAATCCAGCTCGATTGTAGGGTTATCCTTTATTTGGCCCATTTTAAAATGAATAGAGTTTGGGCCTTCCTTAATAGCCTGGGTCGGTCCATGGTCCAGTCCTAAGAGTTGGACCCAGTTTGGCCCGATGTAACTAATAAATTTGGTGTAGACTATTTATCTATGGATCATGTTAGGGCAACCAAAATTTTTAAACTAAATTATAAACCAAATGATGTGTCACCAATAAGAAACAAACACGTTAATAGATACTTAATTAATAATCCAATCATCTACAACCACATCATTTGGTTTAAAAAATTTGATCTCCCTAACATTACCCTTTATCTATACTAATACAAGTAATTCTTTTTCCCAACAAATTAAATCCTTTAGTCCTAGTTGTAGTTTATAATAATTGAGTAAGAGAATTTTGGTTCAATTCTTAACGGTAACAAAATAATTTTTTTAGCTAAGTAAAGGCAGATTATTAGTAGCATGAAATAAACCTCAACATTGTTTTTTTTTTTCTTCAAGGAAATTATTATTAATTTTTTTAGCAAACAATATTAGCTACACTAAGGGAGTGGGGAGTGCCGAAGTGGGCTAAGCCTCACAATAGGCTAGTAATAATGTGGCTCTAATTCGTCATTGGCGAACCTAAGACCTCTCACTTACAAGTGAGGAGGAATACCACTAGCAAAAAAACAGATTTACAAACGAAAGCCCCAGAAACAAATAAACATAAACAAGCAAAAAAGGGGCCAACTAAACAAACTAGAAAGACCCTAACTAGACAACTAAGGCCCAAAAACAGAAGAAAAAAAAAAGATTATCGAGAATCCATTGCTATCGCCTCCATCGGAAAAGTGCATCTCGGCCTGCACAAATCTACGCCCACCACTGAACATTGTCTTGCCAATCTCATCTTCCAACCTCGATATGCTCTCCGAGTATAGCCACAAAGTAAAGATAACCAACAATTGAAAGAAATCAGTTGGCTACTAAAAAAAAGGAGAAAAGGGCCAATCAGCTGGCCCAACCTAGCCAGCCCCGGATCGGGCCAAATGTTTGAAACCAACAGCTACTTGCTGATGTCAGTTAGCCGTTATATTTGAATTTTTTTATTCCTATAACTACCTAAGCCATTAAACAACATTAAATAACATTAAGTAACATTAAACAATATTAAACAACATTAAATAACATTAACGTAAAATTATTGAGATTCCGAGACATAAAATTATTGACAATCCATAACGTAAAATTATTAAGGTAGTTGAATTTAAGTAATCATATTAATTCAATTAAGATAATAAATTATGTTTGGCCCTATGGCCTTTTGGCCCCCTCGGTTGGAGATGATTTTTTATCACAGGACTATGTTTGGCCTATGGTCTTGTGGCCCCTTAGTTGGAGATGGTAAGAAAAATGACCTGACATTGTTTATTAAAATATTAATTTCTTATAGGGCTATAGGGCCAAAGAGAGCCCTCTGGCCCTCCTTCGATTGGAGATGGCCTTAGATGAAGGAGGAAAAAGGATGCCAGTAAGGTAAGAAGAGACCCTTGAACTATAAACACCTCACTTTTTAAATTTTGAATTTATTAGTGCAATTATGTAACGGTGTGAGTGGGTGGTGTCGACTGTTGAGACTCTTGGCAAACGGATAACACTAGGGATACAAAATTTTTAAACCAAATTTGCAAACCAAATGATATGTCACCAATAGAAAATAAGTACGTTAATTGATACTGAAAATAATAATCCAATCATAAACAACCACATTAGTTGGTTTACATAATTTGGTTTAAAATTTTGGTCTCCCTAGCATTACCCTTAAAAAAGGGGGTGTGCTATCCAACACTTTTTTTTACTTCTCACACACCTTTTGTTAATTTCTATCTTTTGATATTTTCCAATCCATCCGATCCAACGACTGAAAATTAAAAAGGTGTGTGAAATGTAAAAAAGATGTATGGATAGCAGACCCCTAAAAAAAGGGTGTAGTTAAGTTAGGATTTAGATGTTGTAAACAGATCAAGGATGTGAGATTCATCATCAATTGTACATGTTTTCACATTCAAGTTGTGTACATAGCCGGATTGATATAATTGTGTTTTAGTGATCAATTTAATTAGTCCCAACTGACGTTATATACCCAAATTATTAGTGTTTCTCCGCTGCTAATATTAGATTTATTTATGTATGTTAAATGCATGTGATGACACAGTATTATATGATAAAGATATATCATATAAAAGATCATGACATGAAGATAAATGAATTCCTTGAATTTTTAAAATTTGACCTTGAGTTTCATTTTTTGATTTTCAGTTTTCATTTTTTTTTAAACCTAAAGCTGAAAATATTTACTAAACAAGATTTTAGTTTTTTTTTTTTAAAAAAAAAGAAAAAACTGAAAAGGAAATGATTATCAAACGGTCCCTAAGTTTTCAGTCTTTAATTTTTAAAAATGTTCTTTAAATTGTACCACCATTTGCAAAGATGATCAAACATAAGCGAACAAAGCCTCCTAATACACAATCTTACATTGTACCTTACATTTTATCAAATCGAACTGTCTTATTTAAAAATAAAAATAAAAACTGAAAAATAAAAAGGGTTTTAAATGTACCTTAAACAATAGCCACTTGAAATACATGATCTTCAATTGTAAATTGTATCTTAACGATCGAAATCATCTTATAAAAGGTTTGTTTATTTCCACACACACATTCCTTCAGTGACGAGTAACGATCGAAATCATCTTATAATTGATTTGAAACCATACCATCTTGTGATCTCTATTTCATAAAAACTTACATGCACGAAACATGCCCATCATCAAAATGGTGCTTCGATCCAATAACAATATCATATTGATAACTTATTTCAAGTTGATTACTCTCTTATTTAATACATCATGTTCCCCTATCGCCTCGCCATGAAATCATAAATGCCTCGCACAATCAGTCAAATTAGTTTGGGTAAATTACACAAAACTACCTTAATTATGGGTCGAACTACAATCTCATCCCTCATGTTTAAAACATGACAATGTCATACCTCAACTTATGATTTCGTTGCAATGTCATACATTTATTAATTTTTCTGTTAAATGCTAACGTAACATGAGTAGAATAAAAAATTAATTAATTAATAATAAATTATTTGTTATTTATTTAACAATTAGAAAATAATTAAGACAAATAAACCTTTCTCTACCTTTTTTTTTCCCCAGAAACCATGCTTTCTCCTCAGCTCCCCTTCGTCCTCCTCCGCCCCCTTCTTCCTCCTTCGTCCCCTTCATCCTCCTCTTTAAACACAGGTTTCTGATCTTTTCTAGTCCGCTTCAACTGACCCAGAGAACGGCCATCTTTTCCCTCAAACTCTCCCTTTCTCTCCCAATGCTCACCATCTTTTCTTCTCCGTGTTCACAAAGACGCTGAGTCCCAGACAAATGCCATCACTAGACCACCACCACAACCATGTCACTCTCTCTTATTTTCTCCCTCAACGCTCAACTCCCCAGTTTCTCTAACCTCTCATCTTCTTTGTACAACAACATAGATGGACTAAACCCTAAACCACCTCGTAGTTTTCAGATGAAAATCCGTCAATTCCTGGTCAGATTGGACGAGACTTGGACCACGGATCACTTCCCCTTCATCCTGAGGTTCGGATTTGAGCATGGGAGACTTGAATTTGCCTCAATTTTGAAAGAAACCAAAAGCCCAATTTCGGGCTGACAACCTTAGGCCGTTCTCAGGCCATTATCCGGCCACGACTTGGTGTAAAAAGGGTATATTTCTACTCTTTGATCTGTGATCTTCATTTTGAGATAAATTTCATGTGTTTTGGTAGAGATTTTAGGGTGAACGGAGCAGAAATGCCGGTGCCCCTTTTTTGGGGCGTGTTGGGAGAGAAGGGAGAGTTTGAAGGAGAGAGAGAGACTGGGATGAGGAGCCCAAAAATTATTTGTTTATAATGAATATTAATTGTTAAATAAATAAAAAATAATTAATTATTAATTAATTAATTTTTTATTTTAATTAGTAAAATAGTGTATTTAACAGAAAAATTAACAAAAAAGTTAACGGAGGTATGATATTACAACGAAATCATAAGTTGAGGTATAACATTGTCATGTTTTAAACATGAAATATGAGATTGTAGTTCGACCTATAGTTAAGGTACTTTTGTGTAATTTACCAAATAAATTTTTAAATCTGTTGTTATTTATCATGTAGCGCGGTCGGATGACCAGGGCGGTTTCTCTGCAGAATTAAAATATATAAATCTCCGCAGGCCCGCAGCTGAAAAACCAAAACAATTTGCCAACACCACCACCACCAGTAGTCAGTCCACCGCATCAGTATACACCCCAAACCATCATCCATGGCCTCGATTTTCGTTCCACAACCTCCGCTCCTCCATCTCTCCACGCCTTCGGCTTCTGCTCCGGCCGATCGGACGCCGTGCTTGCCGCTGGTAACCCGTCCCGGTCAGAGGCTCTTCCTGGTATCCATCGCCACTTTGGGGGTTCGGAGGTCCTTCAATGTCGCATCCTCCGCCACCTTCGTGCCTAATTCCGTACCGGTATCTTCTTCGTTCCCGTTATGCAATTCGAATTTTTATCTGATTAGTTTGATCAGAATTTGTAATATATTAGGGTGATTGATTCCTATGTAGTTATGAACAGAAGGATGAAATTTTTGGAAATGTGATTGCTGTCAAGCTTGCGCACCTGTTCATCTAATTAATTTGATCAGAATTTGTTTACTGCATTGGTATGTCTGATTAGAACTGGATAATTTATGATCGAATTGCCGCTCTTTTGCTTGATATTGTTGTGCAGGAGAAAAATGGAGTTCTTACTGTTGGCGATTTTATGACGAGAAGAGAGGATTTGCACGTGGTGAAGCCTACAACGACTGTCGACGAAGGTATTTGTTGTATTTGCATGAGATGACGCTTCGTCGCGTGTAATACTTGTTTTTATAGGTTTTTCATTTCTTCTGATCGATCTGTGCCTACAGCTATAGAGCTTCTTGTCGAAAACAGAATCACTGGTTTTCCGGTGATCGACGATGACTGGACACTGGTAGGTGCTCACTTATATATCATTGAGCTTCTTTGTCAGATTTATAAATGATTGTCTAATTAAACTAACTTCAAGTTTCCATGTATTTATTTAAATTCCAGAACCAGACTTACCAATGATTTCCAATTTATGACGTTTGAAATTCATGTGGCCAAATCTTGTCTGACTTAAAACAAGCGTTACCCCAAATGATCTGATGTGAGCTTAGTGTAGTTACATTGTGCAACTGATGTATAATGGAACTCTGTTGACGCAGGTCGGTCTTGTCTCAGATTATGACTTGTTAGCACTGGACACTATTTCAGGTAACTAAATATGTTCGTTGATCTTCATTTTTGTTTCTTTATGGAATTAAGCTGTATAATTCATTTTTTTCTTAAAGATTTCACGGCCTTCTTTTCTCTCAATTTCACATTCATTTGATTCATTACCGTACTTGATAGTGCTAGGCCACCCCTTGAAAAAGGGTAATCTGAATCTTGTGAACTAAGTTTGTTTGACAAATTTATTTGCTTAGCAGAGAAGTATTGTTTTGGCTGGTACGCATTGTAAGTATAGATTAGCTTTTTGAGGAAATTGAAGTATAAGTTATTTATTTGTTTTTCAACATTGAAGCTAATTAAAATATGATGAGATTTTCTTCCATAAAAGGGAGCAAAGGCAGAGATGATGATGTTGAGGGGGATGAGTGGTATAAAGATACTGAGTGTAGAATAGAAAACGAAAATTCATGTGACGAGTCCCAACAAGTATGCGATTAGGATCCATGTAACCAAACTCAAAAGGTTGGGATTATGGTTAAGTTTAATATACAGAAATGTAAATGCGAATCATGCTGTACTGGCTTTGGCAAGTAAAGAATTAATTTTAACTTTTGTTGAGGAAAAAAGGGGTTTTAAAGGGGGTGAATCAATATTGTGTGAATAAAAAATGGAATCTTGGGCATGAATCTTGTATTAGTACAAATCTCTTGGAAGAGGGTCAAAATGTTAAATTTACCTGTATAATTTGTATTTCAAATTTACTCGAGATGCAAAGGTTTGTCTAATTTCTTTTACATCCTATTTGGAACTTCATCAGAATAAGGAATTCTCTGCTTCAGTTCAGCTTCATGTGAGTTCTATATTAAGCATTACTATCTGGAACCGCCTTTGCCCTAAGAATTCAATTTATTTGTTAGGGAAAGATTTGGATGTTCATACAGATACCAGTCCAACCAAATTAGATTTGATTTGTCAAGGATTCAATTTAATTTTCTCTCATACTTTCTCTCATTCCAAAGGTGGCCCTGCATTCCCTCTTGTTTCTGCACTTTTATCTTCATTCTCCACAGAGCTCTCTAGGTTCTTCAATAATCTATTGGTTTTCATTTTTCTCATTGAAATCGAATGAATTTTGCTTGCATTATTGCGTCTACATGATGTCAAAGACGTAAGAATATATGGCTAGTTATGTTGGGGTGTTGTTTGATGAAAAAATTGAACAGAATTATTTGGTTTTGCTTAATATCTGTTGGTGTTTGGAAATTTAAATTAAAAGTTCCAGTCTGTGATACTGTTGCGTGCTACAACAGCTCTAGTGGGCAACTGTTATGTAGTTCGAGAGGTGTAATATTGGGACCATATTCATTTGTTTCCTCTGTTTTAAACAATAGTGAAATCAACTTAATTATTCAATTTAGTTTCAAACAGATGATATGAAGTGAAAATCAATTATACTCAAGTTTATTTGATTGACCTCAATTCAGTTGTAGATAGAATTGCTCACAAACGATGTGTTAGGTTGTGGATTAACTTCTTCTATGTCCAATGATCGGGTTGGTCATCTCTTACATAGTTGATAATACAAATCATTCGAATATTTCACCTGATAGGTAGCGGAAGAACTGACAACAGCATGTTTCCAGAAGTTGACAGCACTTGGAAAGTATGTGAGATTTTATATATCTTTTACCTTTCTCGATATTTGTCTTATAATTTTATATGAATTTTAGTAGAATTAACATATGATCTCGGTAATGGGAATGAATTTGAGAGGAGCGGTTTAATCGTTTCTCAAACTTGTATATCCCCATAGTGGCAATTGATATATCAAAAGGCATGGTGCTTTTTGCTCTAGAATTTCAAATTGGCGCATTGCAAAGCATCTTTGAAGTCTAACCAGTAGTTTTCCTTTTTCTGCAACAATAATTTGTCTTACAAAAATGCTTATATAACTGCGTTGTGGTTGCAGACTTTTAACGAGGTACAGAAATTGCTCAGTAAAACCAATGGTCAGGTGGTGGGTGATGTGATGACACCAGCCCCAGTTGTCGTTAGTGAAACCACTAATCTTGAGGGTGTTGCTAGGTATGCTTTTCCTGCTCTACTTTTTCCCATTATCGGTGTCTACCGGGAAACAATTAACTTCTGTTATATGATGGCAGAATGTTGCTCGAGACAAAATATCGCAGACTTCCAGTTGTAAATGAAAGCGGCAAGCTGGTAAGAGATGCATTCTTTTTCTCCGTCTTCGTAATGATCTTTCAACATTATCTCTGATATGCCATTGTTTGTTATCTGAAGATTGGAATTATTACAAGAGGAAACATCATAAGAGCTGCCCTTCAAATGAAACATGCTAGTGAATCGAAAACATAACACGCAGACACATTCGGATCAATATCATTTCCAGATGTTTATGGTGGAATCACAGAAGACGTCGGAGGAATTGGTCTGCTTTTTAGGTTCAATTTCGACAAAGGATTTGTATAAATCAGCAATGAAATTGTAATAATAATAAATAACACGGGATCAGAAAGAAAATAACGATGCGTACCTTTTAGTATAGGAGGAATGTGTTGAAGTTGTTAAGATTTCCTAGCCGTTAGGATTAGGTTTCCGAGTTTGTATGATTGTTTTCAGTAGTTGTTAATAATCCCTTTTCTTTAGGGACAAGTTGTTTGGTTTGCTTCTTATTTTAGTCGTGTTCCACGTTATTAGGTGTAATATCCCACATCGTCTAGGGAAGTGGATCATGTAAGCCTTATATGTATATTTCCATCTCTACCTAGCATGAGGCCTTTTGGGAGTTCACTGGCTTCGGGTTCCATTGGAACTTCGAAGTTAAGTGAGTTTGCGCAAGAGTAATTCCATGATGGATGATCCATTGGGAAATTCTCGTCTGAGTTTCCAGAAACAAAATCGTCAGGGCATAGTTGGGGCCTAAAACGGACAATATTGTGCTACGGTGGAGTCAAGCCTGGGATGTGGTGGGGCTCGGGTTGGGATGTGACAATATGGTATCAGAGCTAATCCCTGGTCGGTGATGTGTCGACGAGGACATCGGGTCCCTAAAGGGGATGGATTGTAACATCCCACATCGTCCAAAGGAGTGGATCATGTAAGCCTTATATGTATATTCCCATCTCTACCTAGCACAAGGCTTTTTGGGAGCTCACTGGCTTCGGGTTTCATAGGAACTCCGAAGTTAAGCGAGTTCGCGCAAGAGTAATCCCATGATGAGTGACCTATTGGGAAGTTCTCGTGTGAGTTCTCATAAACAAAACCGTGAGGGCGTGGTTGGGGCCCAAAACGGATAATATCGTGCTACGGTGGAGTTGAGCCCAGGATGTGATGGGGGCTCGGGTTGGGATGTGACATTAGGTTTGTTAAAACGTGGGCTGCTTATTTCTTGCTTTCAGTTTTCTTGTAAGGCTATTTAATGCCATTGTTGCTCTATCAATTGAATAATAGATATTCTCCCAGGTATTGAGTGCACAAACAAACATTTATTTACAAGTTTTCTTGAGTGTTCATCCTCGGGTTCCAACATCTGGTATCAGAGCCCCATCACGGGGCCTGATTGAAGCTAGTTTCATCGTTCAACAACAACGCCATGGCCACTGAAAGTAGCTTTGTGCAACCTGCAATTCTGAGGTTTGATGGACACTATGACCACTGGAGTATGCTCATGGAGATTTCTTGCGCTTCAAAGAATATTGGAGCTTGGTGGAGACTGGGATTCCTGCCGTAGCAGACGAGGAGGATCTCGCTGATGCACAGAAGAAGACCATTGATGATCATGGGCTAAAAGATTTGAAGGCTAATAACTATTTGTTCCAGGCTATTGATCGATCAATTCTGGAGATGATACTAAAGAAAGATACTGTGAAGGACATTTGGGACTCCTTAGGGTGTGTTTGTTGCACCGGACTATCTTGGACTGTATTAGCTTCAGGGACTAAGCTGGATTGGCTTAGAATAGACTAAGCTGGACTAACTTAGTGAAGCGTTTGGTGCAGTGTCGGACTAAAAAGCAGGATAATTAATAAACTATAATATTATATTAATTAATGCATATATAGTAATAATTTATATTATTTAATGTTTATATAATAATATTTTATGTTTTTCATGCATATTTATTCCCCTTTTACTTTACTCCAAAGAGACTACCTTCCAGAACTATCTTTTCTTTTCTTTCCCCTCTGGCTCCGCCCCATTTCTTCTTTCCTCCATATTTTTCCTGCAAAACGCAGGTGTAAAGTTCATTGCAAATCCTTCAAAACAAGCTCATCATCTTCACTCTCTTGCCACTATTAAGCATTTCCACCTTCCTCATCCTTTTTTTCCCAAAAATTTTTCGGATCTCTCTCCTTCCTCTAATACATGCGTTGGCTTCTCCACCTACAAAGTCATCTCATAAATTTCTAGCAATGGGTGGATTTTGAATTTCGGGTTGGATTTTTTTGTTGTTATTTTTTCGCCCTTTTTTTTTTTTTTGGTTGGATTTTGAGGTTTGGGCAGTAGGTGGAACTTTGTTTCAAATTCGAGCGGTGATTAAAGGGTTTTGCAAAGGTACGCTTGCAGACGATGCAACAGGCAAACAGAGCATGTTTCAAGACGGGATTAGCAATCCCATACATATTGGGGGTCCTCACTAAGACTACCTAGTGAAGGACTTAGTCGATGCGAGTCTGACCTGGTCTCATTAATGTTAATCCTTGTTCGCATCAAACACTGGTTAGCAATCCCAGTTAAGCCAGTCCAATCTAAGGAAGTTTAGTAAGGGTAAACAAACGCCCCCTTAAGGTAGAAGTACCAAGGTACAACACGAGTCAAGCATGCACAACTACAAGCTCTTCGAAAGAGTTTGAAGTTCTGCACGTGAAGGAAAGAGAATCAGTGAATGAGTACTTCGCACGGACTCTCACCATAGCTAACAAGATGATGATTCATGGGGAAAAGATGGGATCTGTGGTGGTCATCGAAAATATTATGAGATCAATGACTCCTAAATATGACTATGTGGTGTGCTCTATTGAAGAGTTTAATGATCTCGACATCTTGTCCATCGATGAACTCCAAAGTAGCTTGTTAATGCACGAGCAGAGAATAAACAGGCACACAGTGGATGAACAAGTTCTGAAGGTGACTCATGAAATCCAGCGAGGTGGGAGAGGTAGACGCAGCGGTTTCAAAGAAGATGACGAGAGATGGGTAGGAATAGACCTGACAAGTCTACCCTTGAATGTTACAATTGTCATGAACTTATGAATTTCCAGTGGGAATGCCCTAAGAAAGGGAATGATTCAAAAGGTTTCTACGTAGAGACAAGTGAAGAAATGTTGTTGATGGCTTATATGGATATCGAGGAAGCTGATAGAGAGGAATTATGGTTCATGAATTCGAGATGCAGGAACCATATGTGTGGCAAGAAGGTGATATTCACATACCTTGATGAAACCTTTAGGAAATCTGTGAAGTTAGGGAACAATTCAAGCTTGGCTGTGTTAGGGAAGGGAAATGTTCATATAGAAGTTAATGGGATCATGCAGGTCATCACTGGGGTATTTTATTTGCCGGATTTAAAGAACAACTTACTTAGCATTAGGCAGCTGTAAGAGAAGGGTCTTGCCATTTTTATAAAAGGTGGCAAGTGCAAGATTTATCAGCCTGAGAGATGACTGATTTGGGAAACATCAATGGCAATGAATAGAATGTTCATCTTGCTTGCTCGCACACAACCACAAGAACAGAAGTGTTTCAACACTGATGCAGAAAATCAACCCCAATTGTGGCATTGTAGATATGGACATCTGAGTTGGAGCGGCCTAAAAATTCTTCAACAAAAGAATATGGTGAAGGGTTTACCAAAGTTTAAGGCTCACACGAAGGTTTGTGAAAAGGTTTGGTAGGGAAGCAGCAGAGAGATCTATTCTCGAAGAAGAGTACATAGAGGGCATCTCAGACTTTTCAACTTGTGCATGCTGACATATATGGGCCCATTAATTTGATCTTCAACAGTAAGAAAATGTATCTCATTACCTTAATTGATGATTACACTAGAAAGACGTGGGTATATTTCTTGGTTGACAAACTAGAAGCTTTTAGTACTTTCAAAAGCTTCAAGGTTAGGGTTGAAAAAGAAACACGTTCAAGCATAAGGAGTCTACATACAGATCGTGGGGATGAATTCACATCACTTGAGTTCACAAATTTTTGCAACATGCATGGAATTCAAAGGTAGTTGATTGCTACCTATACTTCCCAACAGAATGGTGTCAAGGAGAGAAAAAATCGAACCATTATGAATATGGTTCAAAGCATGCTTTCAGAGAAAAAAAAATTCAAGAGCTTTATGGCCAGAAGCAGTCGATTGGACCATCCATGTACTCAACAGAAGTCCAACACTAATAGTGAGAAACATGACGCTAGAAGAAGCTTGGAGTGATTCCAAACCATCAGTAAAACACTTCAAGGTTTTTGGGTGTCTATCACATGTACATGTTCCTGACAGTAAGAGGATTAGACTTGATGACAAGAGTATGAAATGCATTTTACTTGGAGTCAGTGAAGAATCCAAGGCTTATTGACTATTTGATCCAGTTTTGTAAGAAAATAGTGATAAGTTGAGATGTGATTTTTGAAGAAGATAAAGCTTGGGATTGGAGCAACAATCATAGAGAAGCGATCATGGCTGATCTTGAATGGGAAAAGGACGAAGAAGAAGGTCCAGGAGATGATAACAATGTAAAGGAATCCAAGACTGATGAAGCAGTACTAGAAAGTGAGGAATCTGATCAAGATGACCAGCCAGAAAACACTACCATTGAAGGACGGGTCAGAAGATGACCAACTTGGATGAGAAACTATGTAAGTGGATAAGGTTTCTGCAAGGAAGAAGACATGGCTCACTTAGCTTTGTTTGCTGATATTGATCTCATATCTTATGAGGAAGTTGTGAAAAGTGACAAGTGGAATAAGGCTATGGATTCAAAAATTGAGGCCAAAGAAAGAAATAATACGTGGAAGTTGATAGAGATGCCATCAGGAGGAAAAGTGATTGGGGTAAAATGGATCTACAAAACAAAGCTTAACGAGAAAGGTGAAGTGGACAAATACAAGGCTTGCTTGTTGCAAAAGGGTATAATCAACAATATGGAGTGTATTATGCCGAAGTGTTTGCACCTGTAGTTCGTTTGGATATGGTTCGTGTCATATTATCACTTGCAGCTCAGAATAATTGGACAGTTTACCAATTGGAAGTCAAGTCGGCATTCCTCCATGAAGATTTGGATGAAGAAGTGTTTGTTGCACAACCTCCTGGCTATGAACAAAAAGGGTAGGAGCACAAGGTATATAAGCTTAAAAAGGCTTTATATGGTCTTAAACAAGCTCCTCAGGCTTGGTACAACTGCATTGAGACTTATTTCATGAAGGAAGGTTTCCAGAAATGCCCACATAAACACACCTTGTTTGTCAAAAGAATGAATGGAGGTAAAATGTTAGTTGTTTGCCTTTATGTTGATGATCTCATATTTATTGGGAATGAAGAGTCTATGTTTAAAGAGTTCAAGCATTCTATGATGATTGAGTTTGATATGACTGATCTTTGAAGAATGAGCTATTTTCTTAGCTTAGAAGTGTTGCAAAAGCCAGAAGGTATCTATGTTAGCCAAAACAAATATGCTCAAGAAGTGTTGGAGAGGTTTAACATGGACCAGTGTAATGCAATTCATAATCCTATTGTTCCCGGCTTCAAAATGATGAAAGATGAAGGAGGCATAAAAGTTGATAGCACTCTGTACAAACAAATTGTGGGAAGTCTCATGCACTTGACTGCCACACGACCTCATATGATGTATGTTATCAGTTTAATTAACAGGTTTATGGAACGACCTACTGAGCTATATCTTAAAGCAGTGAAGAGAGTGTTGAGGTACTTGAAGGGCACAATGAGTTTTGGGCTGTTATATAAGAAGAAAGGAAATGAAGAACTCATTGGGTACACAGACAGTGATTATGCTCGAAATCAGGATGATAGCAAGAGTACTTCAAGGTATGTTTTTATGTTGAGTTCAGGGGCAATCTCATGGTCTTCGAAGAAACAACTCGTGGTTACTTTATCTACCGCTGAAGCATCGTTTATAGCTGCAACATTGAGTGCATGTCAAGTAGTTTGGTTAAGAAGGATTTTACTGCAGCTCAGTCATTGACAGTGCAAATCCACAAGGGTTTATTGCGATAATAGTTCTACTATTAAGCTTTCAAAGAATCCAGTGATGCATGGTCGCAGCAAACACACAGATGTTCGTTTCCATTTTCTTCGAGAGCTCACCAAGAATGAAGTTGTGGAATTGGTTAAATGTTCTATACAGGAGCAGGTAGCAGATATCATGACCAAGCCATTAAAGCTGGATGTGTTTCTGAAACTGCGGGAGTTAATATGTGTTTGCTTACTCATGGATGTAAACTAATTGCTGATAGCGTTCAGTTTAAGGGAGGATGTTGAAGTTGTTAAGATTTCCTAGCTGTTAGGGTTAGGTTTCCTAGTTTGTAGGATTGTTTTTAGTAGTTGTTAATAATCCCTATTCTTTAGGGACAAGTTGTTTAGTTTGCTTCTTATTTTAGTCGTGTACCATGTTATTAGGTTTGTTAAAATGTGGGTTGCTTATTTCTAGCTTTTAGTTTTCTTGCAAGGTTATTTAACGCCATTGTTGCTCTTTCAATAGAATAACAGATATTCTCCCAGCTATTAAGTGCACAGACAAACATTTATTTACAAGTTTTAGGTTCCAACAGAATGCCTACGTCATTTCACCCACGTACAAGTGGGTAATTTCCAATGTAGATGCATGTGGCCCCATAGTCCACATGCATACCAGCTAGAAATACACTTCACGCACATGAGTGCAACTAATGTTGGCGAAAACTTAGTCCAGTGGCTATCGCGTCTCCTTGCGGATTTACCTCGTCCGTGCGAGTGTGGTTTGCCATCTCATCCATAGCCGGTGTTTGTTGAGCTGAATCGGCCATCGGATTGATTCATGATGTACCGGTTGTTGAACAATATATTTGAAATGTGGGTTGTTGACTTTATTCGGCTTCAATTATTGTGCAATTTAAATTTATGCCTTTGAAAATAGGAAATGTATCGGAGTCAAACTGATTGTCACACTGAAATTAAAGATTTTATTTTCCTTTGATCACAAGATGGAAATAAACATGTGGAACTGCAGTCAATCAAATCTTTGAGGGGAAAGAGGTAAATAGGACACCTATAGACATCTAAATCATTGAGATTTGAGAAAGTTTATAATAATTAATTACTCAAATTAGCAAATAGTAAACACCGATTTCTCCGTTAATCGTGGATTAATCATTGTCTTTACTCAAAAGTGGGTAAAAATTGTTTAACCAGAACATGGATTGGATCACAGCTCATGCATTGTTCAAAGTTCATCCGCCTATAAAACAGTGTTTGTAGCTAATCTCTAATCTCTATGCAAAATTACTATGCAATCAGCTATTGCTAATCAAAATTGGAACCAACAAAGCAGGGACGTCCAGCATTAACACGTGTACACGATCATATCTGTGGTCTATGGTCCTCTTTAACTTACACACTTGCATCATTATTGTACGCACACGTGCGTGTATGCGATTGGTCGTGACACTCTTCTTTCTAGCACACTCACGCCATCTTAGCACTCTCTTGTCCTTGTCGGAGAGGGATCATGTAGCCATTGCAACAGTGCCATTTGACCACAAATAGAATCTAAGACCGAGAGTGAACGGCCTAGAGGAGGGGACAAAACCGATAAAGGGCACAGTGCATCCCATTTGCCCTCTTGCTCCTCCGTCATCCAAAACCGCACCAGCACCATCACAACCATATATAATCCCCATAACCACACTTAACCAGCAACAGTGCAGAGAACCGGACATACCTAACTCTTCCAAATCCCAATTGCTTTCTTGTACTAGTACAACTAGTAGTTATAACTTCAGTGGTTAGCCTGGTCCCTGTTGTGTCCCCCAACTGTAGGACCCTTTCTAGTTTTTGCTCCCTCCTTCACAGCTAACAAGTAAAAACATTCCCTCCTCTTTCTTTTTCATTTTTTCCACTTAAATCCACCCTTTCTTTTACATTTTTGCTCTATTCCTTCAATTCCCCCATCTCCTACCTCACCACCAAACTACCACTTATGGAAGAGCAAAGTTTTAATACAAAGCAATATAAAGGGAGGGAATCGAACACGAAAACTCGGTGCTGCTCTTAACCAGCTGAACTACAAGACCGAACATTTCCTTGTACGACGAAATGTTAATTACCCAAAATTAAAAGGAATAAATACAGAAAAAGGGGGAAATTAAGCTAATTCGTAGCATAATTTACATCTTACATCAGGTTTTTATAAAGGGCCAAAATTTCTCCATCCAAAGCAAAAATTTTCTGAAAAAAAAAAAAGAGATACAGTAGGCGAAATTCTAATTTCCAGGACCAGGACGAAAGCTTCATCATTGCTTCAGCAGTCACATACCTCCCCTGCGCACGTTAGCAAAGGCCAGCCCTCAATTTTTAAAACCGAAAGAGATTAAGACAACCTCTCTCTAATTCCACTCACCTTCCGAATTCTCCGGGTCGGGCATCTTGTTCAGGTCGACCCGATCCACGCATCCGGCGAAGCAGGGCTTAATCTCATCGCCGTCTCCGTTCCCTGCCGCCGAACCGCGGTGGTGTCGCAGAGCCGTCTCGACCGCGTCTACCCGGGCTCCGACCTCGGTGGCCCGCTTGCGTATCAAAGCTGCCGACATGTCACCGCACCCGCAGCCACCTTCGACCGGCAAAGCCTCTGGAAAATTGAGCCGCGCGGAGGGGCCCCGCAAGTAAAAAACTGCCGTGTCGTACGCCCGAGCGGCGGCGACGGGAGTGGAGTAGGAACCAAGCCAGATTCTAGAGCGCTTGTTGGGTTCTCGAATCTCGGCCACCCACTTGCCCCACTTTCTCATCCGTATCCCCTTGTACGGCTTGTCGTTGTCCACCCCAGCTCTCTTCCTATTCACCGCCTCTCCGCCGCCGCCCTCCATCTTCAATTGTTCTCCTTCAATTGTTGATGTCGGTCTGAGAGTGCGAAAGGGGTGCTCTGCTTTTTGGAAGAGAGGGAGAGAAAGAGAGAGAGAGAGAAAGGTGGGAGGGGGTTTTTTGCATGCTCCTTGGCCACTAAGGTTGTATCTGGGTAGGCTTCCACGTCTCTGAAACCCAACAAACTAAAACATTTTATTCCCCGAAATAAATCCAAATTCACCGACACAACAAATCCCACCGATTTTCTTTTTCTTTTTCTCTTTTTTTGGGTTTTTTTATTTTTTGGGGAGGTCTTGCCTAATTAAGAAATGGGGTCAGTCAGACCCAGAGGACCCTGTCCTAAAATACAGGGCACTTTTTTTTTGTAGTGGGGAGATGCTTTATTTATTTTTCATCTTTGCATATTTTTCAAAAAATTGGTTGGGTTTTATACAATTTAGAAGTATAAATAAATAAACAAAAATATGTAGTGGGTGGTGGAGGTAGAGGAGGTAGACGAGGTAGTGAAGTGATGGGAGGTGTCTGTTTGTGTGGAAAATTCAAGTGGAATTCAAAGGTTGTGAAGAAAATAATAATAATTCTATTTTCTTGTTTAAAATAGTGAGGAAAGAGTGGTTTATTCTTTTGTTATGATTAGACTATAATTTATTATGTGCCAATGTTGAAAATTATACTTTAATTAGTTCACGAACTTAAAAATATATTGCATCATTAATCCTTCAACTTAATGATGTGTTACATCACTGGTTATTTTCTCTAACCTCTTTCTTTTTTAATTAAAACTAGGGACATATTAGAAACTTCAATTTAAAACAACATGAAATTTTAAACTATAAATACAGAATGAAAATAGTTGGACTTGGCAACTTGTAAATATTAGGCAATGCGATTTCAAAGTTGATAGGAAATCGAAATGTGGCTGGACTTAAGGCTAGTTTGACATTGCTGAAATTATTTTAAAAGTAGCTTTTTAAAAAAGTTGGGGGTAAAATTTTGTTTGGTAAATGAAAAAAAGAAGTGATTTTCGTCAAAATCATAGGAACAACAAAAAGCAGCAGCAATTCTACCCTTGCTTTTGAAAGCAACACTTCTTTTTTTTTTTTTTCACAGCACAACAACCCCAAACTAGCCCTTAAACAACTAACACATCACATATTAAATTGTGAAAAAAAGGTTCCTATGTATTCAATTTTCTTAGACAAAAAAGATCTTTTTTTAGGCTTTTGTCTTTCTCATTTTTCAATTTATTTTCAGTGATGTGAAATGAAGTTCTTTATATACCCCTAAATTTAATGAAAAAACAGACGGAGTTAGTGAAAATGATCAATGGCACAACACATTTTTGTATTCGAGGACTAAAGAAACTAATATGAGAGTTCATGGACTAAAATTAAACTATTAATAAAGTTCAGGGATCATTGCCACAATTAAGCCTACAACTCTATTTGACATTAGAAGTTTGTAAACGATGATTTTTGTAATGTTGATTTTAAGATGAATCACTCTAATTAAGTTGTATGTTGTAAACATATGTTACCATTTCATTAAAGAAAATCAGTGCTTTCTGCTTGAAAACACGTTGAACTAAATGTGAAATTAACTAATTGAAAAACGTGAAATAATTTCTGTGATCGAAGATACATCTTTTTTTACTAAGCGAATCAATTAAAAAATACATCTTAATTTAACTCAACCAAGATAACACAAGAATAACTTCTACATCAAAATGCAATAATGCATGAGGTACTCTTTTTTTATTTTCTTGGGGTTGGGTGAAGTGACATGAGAGCTCCGACCCAAAAACATATCCAACCAAACACTACAAAAATCAAATATTTTTGTTTTGGAAGAGTGTTTTGGCAAATGTAAAAAGCACTCCAAACCCAACCTAATTCAGTTGTTGCTTCTGTGGGTTTTATTATTTCGTTGCTTCTTATTTAATTTTCTATACCGTTAGGGATTGACTTTTCCCTCCAAGCAAACGGCATACCTCCCCTTATCTTTGTTTGAAGAATTTTTTCAATATACCTGAAATACAATCGACACGTCCAATATCTTAATACAATTAATTAAAAACTCAAAAGAAATATCATTCAACTAATTACTTAATTTGAACTACGTTTTCAGCGCACTAAAAAAATCTCTCGTTTGGAAAGGGATAATATTGACATTCTGCAATCCCAGTGGCCCCCATAAGTAAGGTTGAAAATACCTGCTGATCGTATTATTGGGCCGGCCTTATTATTTTATCCACAAAAATGGTTATTATCTTTTGTTTTTTACTTCCATTTTTCTGTAGTTGGGTTTGATTCCCTGAATTTACCGCCACAAAGTTGATTGAGAGCGACCTTTTGTCGGTGGAATAAAATCACATTTGCTTGTATTTATAAGAAGTCATACCATGACTAGTTGGACCACACATGAATTTGGAAGATTAGACCACTCTAAAGTTGAAGGATCATGTCTTTTCTGCTGTACATAGAAAAGTAGAAAAATAAAAAATATCGTTTTTTTCTTTTTGGATATAAGTTTTTTTCAAACGCAAAAAAAAAAAAAAAAAAAAAAAAAAAAATTACAAAACACAAACATCTCTTATCAAGAAGAAAAACTTCATATTTCAAACAAATGGTGGATTTCATTACTACCAAGTACCAAGGCACCTAACTGTTACAAGAGGCTTATTCTCACTTGTTTAACTATGATTTAGGTGTTTTGGAGGAAAATTATTTGGTCCCACCGGATTCAATCAAGGCAAAACTATTTGAAAAGTCTAGTGTGTTTCTCAAGATGTAGCTCATTCTCTTCTGCATTGCCTATTTTCTCATTATTGTGTATCTTGCCGCTTTATATTACGGCTCCATCCTTCATTTCAGTAATTTGGAAGTCGTCGATGGCTGGGTGGCTCAGGCTCAATATTGAAGTGTCTTATGCCGATGGACGTGCTGGATTTGGTAAGATCTTCGCTCATTGGAGGGTGGGGTGCTAGCTTGTGCATCAAACACAGAATTTGTAATTCCAGTTGCTACATAATCTTACTTTCATTGAGGTTGTGCGTATAGCTTGGGTAAGAGATAGGAAGCATTTATGGATTGAAACAGATTCCATGTATCTTTTCGAGGCTCCAAATGCGATATTTTGATTTCTTATGGTAGATTGGAAGAATTGTCTATAACAACTTCGTCGAATACGATTTATTTGTACGCGTATTTATTGAGAATGAAATCAAGTTGCAGATGATTTAGCTTCATTTGAAGTAGATAGTTATACTTAGTATTGGTGGTCTACGGTTTCGGACTTTGCAGCCTCTGTTCATGGTCTTAACACAATGTTTTGTCTTTATTACCATTTCGTTGATCATTTTGTCTTTTTGGGTCTTGACCTAGTTTTCCTCCCACCCTACGTTTCTATCTTTTTCATTTACTTTCTTATATTATTAGTAAAATTGGTGGAGGAGGGATCGGCGGATAATTTTTGAGTGTAATGGACGATCATTGTCGAAGAGTTAACTTGACATAATCTTTCTCCATTTAACATAAAAATTAAATAAAAATGTCATCATTTAGCATTAGCTTTTGCTCTTTGGCATTAACATGATATCAATAAAATGAATGACATATTGACGGCACCTCGAGTACCCAATATCAGAAGTTAACGAGCTAATATATAAAATTGACGAAATGAGGCAATACAAAACACAAAGTAAAAGTCTATGGAGTGATTGCAAAAACATGATGTAAAGTGATACTTAAAATATGGTTTAGCAGTTATTTTGATAAGCCTATAAATAAAAAACCACTCCCCAAAAGGATATATTGCCATTCTATGTTAGGTCACTAAATTGTTTACTCAAGTCATAAACTATAAGGCACCAATTCTCGAACGTCTAATTTACGTTATCACAATTATTTACAGTTTTACGTAAGCGTTACATGATAAATTAAATCGGGAGTATCAAAATCACTGGTGACAAATAATTGAGGAGTACTCTTTCCCATACGATAGGAGACACAAATAATGTGGTTGGAGTAAATGTTCCATTTTTATGTACCACAAGGACAGATCGTATGTGCTTGTCTTCAACCACATTTTTGTTTCCATGTATTTTAACTACATTAGGGTTATGAGCACTGACGAATCGAAACTATATATGGAACTTCATATATAAAAAGACATTACTAAATTCGGATGTGGTTGGTTCTTGCTCCCCATACTTTGGCAATTTGCATTGTATTTGTTGGATACACTGGGATTGTACCAAGTATTATTGCTCCCCACAATTTCCCTATTAAAAGTTTGCCCATAATGCCATAACTCACTGAGTGAGAGATACAACCGCAAACGTCTAAAAACCAACTACAATAGTACTTGATTTCTTCATGGCTTTTCTATTTTGGATTGTTGAAAAAGTATGCATCAAAGATGCTCAACCACTATGGTTGTCGTCTACCAAGAAAAAGTTCGTTGCTATGTAGCGACTCTTCAAGATGTTTAACCACTATGACTTAGAGAAAACAAATTCTTTGCAGCGTTACATTTCTACTCTAATAATACAATGCAATGTTATGTGCAAATTTGTTTTTAAATAACAATGTATTCTCGAAACATTATAGTGGCGCCAGACTCATTATATATATCCTTTATGGGGAGGGATCCCTATTTTTGAAAAAAAAATAAAAAAAAATTGAGGATTAGTTATGGGACCCACTCCACATCGAACTTTAATGATCTGAATCGTCTATGTTGTAAACATCGATTATTGGATCATCCTTGCAAACATTCAATTCAATCAAAATCATTTACCTATTCAATTGACACGATGAAATTTCAATATTTCCTAGACCATATTATTCGTCAATTTCTTTGAGTTCAATTAGATGTCTCAAATATTTTCTATTTGATTAATTTTTAGTAAAGATGATCCATGAGGTGCAACGTGAAAAATAGACGATTCGGATGACTGAAGTTTAATGTCGTTTGCGCCTCAACTAATTCCCATTTAAAAAATACGAATACCTTCTCTTAAAGGTTGTGTGTGTGTGTGTGTGTGTGTGTGTGTGTAATATAGGGATAAGATCAAGGGACAACCATTTGGACAAATATTTTTACACTCTTTTTAAGCCTTTAGATCACAATGACATCCAAGGGCTCTTATTTATTCATTAAATGACATAGATGCTTATATGGATTTTAACTAACATTAAAGAAAAAATAAAATGAAAAGCCATAAAATCTGAAAGGAATTAAAAATAAAATTAAATGGGAAGAAACCCTATGAGCGTGCAAACAAGAAAGGAGTAGAACTCCATTGCATCTTCTCTTTGTCGATGGGTCTGCAACCTCTAGCATCTTAACGCCCTCAACGTCATCCCCTCTGCCGCATTCTTTTTTCTTGATCTTTGGTATAAAAAAAAAAAACCTTCCTGATCTCCATTGCTCTGCCGCATATCAGGATTTGGATTCACACCCATGTAGTGTGAAAATAAATAATTACTTCGAAAACCCTAGTTGTAATCGTTAAAAAAAAAAAAAAAAAAAGGATCGAGAGGTCTGCAACCTCCGTCTCCCCCTTCTTTATCGCCTTCGAAAAGGCCCTAAAAAAGGTTGGCAATGAGGAGCAGAAGGTCGATTGTGACATCTCACATCGCCCAGGGGAGTGATCCTTATATGTATATTCCCATCTCTACCTAGCACGAGGCCTTTTGGGAGCTCACTGGCTTTGGGTTCCGTAAGAACTCCAAAGTTAAGCGAGTAGAGGGCTAGAGCACTCCTAGGATGGGTGACCTTCTGGGAAGTTGCTCGTGAGTTCCCAAAAACAAAACCGTGAGGGAATGGTAAGCCCAAAGCGGACAATATCGTGCTACGGTGGTGGAGTGGGCCTGGAAAGTGGTCCCACCCGGGCCGGGATGTGACGATTTGGTATCAGAGCCTAACCTTGGTCGGGTGTGTGCCGACGAGGACGTCGGACCCCTAAGGGGGGTGGATTGTGACATCTCACATCGCCCAGGGGAGTGATTCTTATATGTATATTCTCATCTCTACCTAGCACGAGGCCTTTTGGGAGCTCACTGGCTTTGGGTTCCGTAGGAACTCCAAAGTTAAGCGAGTAGAGGGCTAGAGCACTCCCAGGATGGGTGACCCTCTGGGAAGTTGCTCGTGAGTTCCCAAAAACAAAACCGTGAGGGAATGGTAAGCCCAAAGCGGACAATATCGTGCTACGATGGTGGAGTGAGCCCGGGAAGTGGTCCCATCCGGGCCGGGATGTGACATCGATGATGGCGCCTGTCAGGACGTAGAGGCAGAGAATTTTGTTTCGAAGGTTGAAAATTGTGCGGTCTTTAGAGGAACTAAAGGTGGGGAAAGCAACTTTGGAGATGAAGTGCAGGTAGATCATGGAGAAAGACAGCGAAGGCAAAGTCTTGGGGGCTTCCCATTTAATTTTATTTTTAATTCCTTTCAGATTTTATGTTTTTTTTTTTTTTTTTTTTTTTTCTGTAATGTTTGTTAAAATTCACATAAGCATTTATGTCATTTAATGAATAAACAAGAGCCCTTGGACGTCATGTGATCTAAAGGCTCAAAAAGAGTGTAAAAATATTTGTCAAAATGTTTGTCCCTTGAACATATCCCATATATATATATAATTGTTATTAGCACTCCAAAAATCTCATTCTATACTCCTCACAAATGTATTTTTCTTTCTAATTATAGAAAATTTGGAGTGTCAAATGAGATTTTTGGAGTACTAATAACAATTCACTATATATATATATATATGTATGTATGTATGTATGTATGTATGTATGTATAGACACATATGTACAATGCTTGTTTGGTATATATAGATTATGGGTGTACAGCTTGCAAATGCATAGCTAGTTGTGTTGTATAGTATTTTTTGGTATTGTGACTCAATTATATTACTTACCATGCATATATAAATAATAAAAAGAAGCCGAACTTTATAGCCCTGAAAAGAAGGGGCTTCTTTTAAGGTTTTGTTGCTTTGTGATTGAAATATTGAAGAAAGTGGGTGGGTAGGTTGCAAAATCAAGAAAACAATGACGAGGTTTTATTTTTTATTTTTTATTTTAGCTTTTGCACCAAGCTAGATAGAGTGGGGGTAGAAATAATTTGTGTAGGGATGACAGCAATAATGGGGCTCGCTAGAGACTAGAGGAAGTGATTTGTAATTTTGTTTCATGTAGTGACTATCAGTTGTAGCTTTTGTTTTTTGCTAGATCGAGGTTAATAAATCCTCCAATCTTACTCCACATTCTCGAGCAATTACAAAGTTAGTGCACACGACTCACCACAGAGGACGAAAGCAAACCCCTTACTACATAACCAACTCCACGATTCAATGTAAGGGTTACGTCAAGGTTTATCGATTGATTGATATTTGTGTTTACAATCAATCTCTTCGGCGTCTTATCAACCAAATCTCGCTGGCGTCAAGAGAGGTTTGGGTGGCTGATATTGCATCAGGATTAGTGCTTCATTTACCATCTATATTTATAATCTCTCTAATAGAGGTAACGCCTTATTACATAACCAACTCCACGACTCAATGTAAGGGTTACATCAAGGTTTATCGATTGATTGATATTTGTGTTTACAATCCAGCTCATCGGCGTCTTATCAACCGAATTTCACTGGCGTCAAGAGAGATTTGGGTGGCAAATATTGCATCAGGATTAATGTTTCACTTACTACCTATTTGTACAATCTCTCTATTAGAGATAACACCCACCAACATAATGTGAGTCCTTTTTCTATTAAATAAATAGTACAAATAGAGGGTTAGAATTACATTTTTATTGCTTCAGTCTTCCATATTGCCTAGCCAACCATGCTAGGTAACTTGATGAATCTGCAGTTTGAAGATGAATGTCAGGTAACTTTAAATTCTTGAAATAAAATTGAATTCTTGGAAGAAAAAGAAAATAAAAGAAGAAAGGTATTAGGTTGCATTTAAAGCAAATTTTGCCGGAGGGATCCAACTTCCTTTGTAATGGGGTCCCCAAAAGTGGAGTAGAATTATATGTCCATCAATCTTGTTGACTTCTTTAGTCTAAACAAAAGGATTAAGAACTAAATTTCCACTTATCAAACTAATCGTACTTTAGTCAAGCGTAAGACTACTATTTGGTCACGTGACTTGCCTATTAGCACCAATAGATGATTTCTCCAAGAGAAACCAGAGGGCGAGCATCGATGAAAGAAAATCTTTAGGTGTAACAGTGAATATGCTATCTTTTTTGTATCTCTCATCACACAAAAGAGAGAAAAAAGTGAGAACATACGTGTACTGGTGGAACTAACATAGAGTTATTGATTGTTCTTGACTCCAACAACTTCAAAAGCTCTATGTATATTTGTTTGTATATTGTATTTGACCCCTATTAACAATTAAGATAAATTAAATTACAACCTTCTCTTTATGCTTCTTTTATTTTCTTTTATCATATTTGTCTTCATTTTCTCTCTTTTTGCATGAATTTCTTTAGTTGAAAAACCTTGACAACCTTCAACATTTCGTTACAGTATCTTGTATCCACCCTCGACAAGCCTCTACAAATAATAGTAGTTGTCACCACATATTGGCATAAATTTTCGGCATATGTTGACAAGAATTGGCAGATATCTGCTATGTGCTCAACGAAATGAGTCAATAATTTTTTTTTTGTTGATATCATGATCTCATTATTTGAAAATCCTTACTATATCACTACCTACGTCTATTGTATTTGGTAATATACTGAATTTTAGTTGAATAATTGAGCTTGCGATAGCCCATCCGTCGCAAATATCTATTTCTACGTTCCATTCTCCTATTATTCATCTCTATTATTGTACCAAAAACATTGATCAGGCATGCAGACTAAGAATTCGGTCAGAAAATAAGAAGTAGCAAGTCAAGTATACGATACGATGGTCATCATCCCCTTGAATGCCGTGACGTGGCAGGCAATGGCAGTGTGACAAAGTGTGACAAACCCGAGGGCAGTTGGTCCTTACATTACATGTAGGAGTTAAAGGATTCACGTTGACCTTTCTACATAAATCCAAAAAAATGAAAAAGGACAATAATAAATTTCATGCACATGCCTAACTGTTCCACGTCCATTTATATATCATTTCAGATTGAGGAGGAGGTCGTGTCTGAGTGTCGCTGCAGAAAAGAAAAACAAAAAAAAAAAAACGAAAAGTCAAGCGTGTGGAAAATGTGACAAGTCATTGTCTTTGACAATTTTTTATTTTCCTTTGAACAAGTCTCTCACGCACACACACATAGTAATTGACGATGCTTGATTAGTTATTATTATTTTTATGTATCTGTCTACTTGCATTGAACTGGATTAGCATTATGGTCAATCGGTTAATTTGAATGTTGATGTATTGTGAGCTTTGTAAATATCAATGGTTTGTACACGTAAGCAACTGATTAAAGTAAGTTTCGTCTAAATAAAAAAAAACATCGAGCGCTTTTTTGAAAAGTTAAATAAATCCTTATCTTCATTTTAGTGATCGCTTTTCTCACCATCTTTCTTGCACAGTAGGGTTGGAAACTTTAGTGAAGGTATGGACAAGGTCCTAAAAACGTTAGGTACTAATCAGGCGATGAGCTAAGATCTAGCGCTTAGACAAACTGGACAGATTTAAATAAATCTATTGCATTTCGTATAAATAAATGTTTTCTTATATTTAAATTGACATGTGCAAATAAATATTTGTTTTTGACCGTAATTTGCAATTATTGTATCCATCGAGTGCACGTACAACAAAATATGTTTAAGTCAACAAAATATCATACTTTTGTCAAAGAATTAAATGTTTATAATTTGAAAACCCACAAATATTTTCCATTATTGAATGTTGACGATGACGACGAGGGCACCATCAAGGAAAATGAACATAAATGGACACCCCTGCGTGGATAGCAAATCTACCTAGTGTTGGTACAACTAATGTAAGATGTGGATCGCCTTGCGCGGGCATGGAAACGAGCGAAAAGCTACAATCTTCTATTCAAACTACTTCGGCTTCTTACGCATTCCCATTCGTGATCTGGCGTATCTGGGATTCTTGTTAAGCAAAACTTGTAACATAAAACCAACAAATCCAAGGAGAGGAAAGGACAAAAGCAAACAAAGCAAGAGGCGAACTACTAAAGGATACTCCAATCTCATGCCTTCGCCAGCTGTTGACGAGTAGAGAACTGTGCCTTGCAGATGACTCAGCGCTCCAGTTGAGCAGGCAGTGTCCTACAAATATAGGGCAAAGCATATAATTAGAAATTTAGAACCACAAAGCAGGTCTAGGAAGCGTTGCAATAAGGAAATTCAGACATTGTACTGGTAAGCAAGGCTTCCATAACATAAAATCGATAACGCCCAAGACTCCGACACAAGAGGCAGCAATAGAATAAGTAATGGATAACTTTACTTTCGATTCTCGATTGTTTTCTACAAATGCTCATATCAGTGCTATCTACATCTAAGCTCCCTCTTGGAAACACCACAAGTTTACTGTTATTTTTAAGCTGAATGATAGCACCAATAAGTACCTGAAAATCAACAAATGCAACCGGAGCTCCATATGTGCTTTGCATCTTCAATTTTATGAACCCAGGGCACCTAACAAAAACAAATTAGAAAAGCCTTGTCAGTGTTACAGACTATACAGATGAATGTAAATGAAAAGAAATTATAGCCATTAACCTTGAAAACACTTGAATTAGCTCTTGCTCCGTACATGTTGGCCCCAAGTTAGCCACAAAAAGCGTTGGACATGGAGTATTATTTTGTGGAAAATGCTGTACAGAAGAATTATTCTGCCAATGTAAATAAGAGCCAACAATGTTCACAATTAGATTGCATTTAATGCAATTTATGTAACACCTACGATGAAGAGAGTAGGATTCCAGAAGAAAACACGCAAATTGAAAAAATACAAAATGATGCACAAAATCCACGTTAGGAATCCAGTATTTAAAATTCTGAGACTACAATGGAAGTTTCTTTCACTACAACACAAATTGCGATAGGATGTACTCAATATTAGTTTTAAGGTGGCCTTTTATTCTATAAAACAATGTCCCTAGTGCAGCCCTGTGGTAAAACGCCTGACAAGATAAATATCATAATGCTTAAAGAATCGAACATATATCTTTTGAAAGCAAAAAAAGAATATCAAAGAAAATATTGCATGACCATCTTCAAGAGTTTAAAATCGACTTGAAAATGAAAATACACAGAGAAACTAAGTATAACTAATGAAGAGAAACCATACCGCATTTGGGGATATTGTCTCGTGTACAGCTCTGCCATTGAAGTTGCCATGACTGAATAGTAAAGAAAACAATAAATGAGTACAAAAAGTTCAATTAGATTTACTAAAGAGGTTATTTCAGAAAGGAAATACTATACTCCAACTTTGTGGAACAGGGCATCCAGAAACTTCTTTAACTATGCCCTTGGCCTTTCAGCTAGAAGTGATATACTTTAAAATAAAATATGTGCTGATTATTGAACTAATTGTAGTCACTCCCATGTAAAAAAAACGTGTGCTCAAGCAGTGCAGATGACCTTGGTGCAGATGGATAACCAGTCATGTTGTAAGCAGAATTACCCATTCCAGGCATGTGAATGCTGCCAACTCCTGCTAGTGTCCAAGCGTGCAAAACATGTGCAATGTGAGCTATTAGATAAATGTGTCCTCCATGTGACTAAGTAATAGTTTCTGGTCTCAGAGACCAGGCAATCATCAAACAGATATCATCAAGAAAATTGATCATATAGAGAATGGAGATAGCATAATGTACATCAGGATGATTAATAAACAAACAACTGCAGACAAGGGAATTCACATGAGCTAATCCGTTAAGTTACAGACAATCCTCTTACCAGAATCAGGAGTTCCCCTTGAATATGACGAACTTCTAGCTCTCTTATCTGAGCCAGATCTTTCATCATCTGCAAACAATGATCAACAATAGCACATATTGCAGTTCCATGCCAGTTATTACCGAAATAAACAAAGAACGGACCAAGAAAGTGAAGAAAGCACAAAGCAATCAACCTGTTCTTGAACGCTTAGACCTAGAATTAGATTTAGCTAGATCAATATATAATGTTGAACCTTTCTCAAGATCAAACACCATCCCCTGCAAATAAGGTTCAAAATCAAGAGCTCTCAGTTAATGCTTTCACATCTTTCTTCGTGCACCTAAATTTCACATAAAAAGAGGAAAACTTGCCGACTAAAAGGCATATAATCAACCAACACATTTGCAAACCGCTACTATAGAACCTCCATCCTCCACACACAAATAGGTATAAGTGATTCAACCCTATGATAGGCTCTTCAGCCAAGGAGATAAAAATGGATATTGACTACATTATCATAATTGCAAATTGCAAAAGACTTACAAGCCAAATGACCGCCCTATTTAAACCACAAATACCAACCAATACTAGCCCGATTTCCACATTTTCGACACAGCAATGCAATCAACACAGTACAAATACAGTATTTATTTATAGATATCCAAATTTCACATCACTAAACAATGCAAGATACTTACATTCAGCGCGTGCATTGCTCCAATGGCAGACTGCTGATCCAAGAACACCGCGAAAGCAAAAGGCTGCATCACCAAAACACCGTGTCAGCTCACATAAACTTCAGCGTCAATAAATACCACACATTCAAATCCAATCCAAAATTCCCAAACTTCCCAATAAAAAAAACTTTAAAAATTAGGCATTAAATTTATTGAATTTCAATTGGTAACGACGTACCTGAGATTTTCCGTTGGGGGTTCGGAGGTGGGAGGACTCGTAACCCGGAAACTCGCGGAAGAGGTTATAGATTTCGCGAGGCTTGACATCTTCTGGGAGACCGGCGACGAATAGAGTTCGGAGCTCGTCGTATGAGGGTTGGGGGATAAGAGTGGCAGCGTAGGAAGCGAAAGGTGGTGGCTGTTGAGGGAAATAGGGCTGAACCAAGTGGTGCTGTGGCGGTGGCGCCACCACTGGAGGTGGCTGAGAGGGCGGAGGTTGTTGGTAGTAGGGGTAGTGAACCGAGCCTGGTGGTGGAGGCGGTGGCGGGTAATAGGGAGCCATGTCGTCCATTTGAAGCCCTAGAAAATAATTGGCTTCCGTTTTTTGTATTGTAATATAGCAGCGACAGTACTTTTAAGTTGCAAAGGTGGGCTGGGCCAGAAAATTTGTAGCCCATTATGATATTTATCTTTCGGCCTAATTGAATAAACAGTGATGATAAGGTAATCGAAAGATAACTTCGTCATAAAAAAAATTTAGGGTAAATTAAAAAAGACTACCTCAATTATTGGGCCAACCACAATTTCATATCTTATCCTTAAAACATTTTAATGTCATACCTTATCTTACGAATTTGTTGCAATGTTATACCTCCGTTACTTTGTCCATCAATTCTTCTATTAAATGTTGACTTGGCTTATGCTGGGTCCCACTACCTCCACGTATGGACTTCCACGTTGGTTTCTAAAACACGTGAATCATCTAAAAGGATGACATGTGTATATTATAATAAAAAAATAAATTTAATAAAATTTAAAAATTTAAAAAAAAAATTTGCCTCGTAAACCATGCAATTTGAATTGAAGCCTAAAGCCCCAACCGTGCAATTCCATTTTTGCTCCAGTTCCCAAATCAAAGAAGAACCCTAACCCTAATTTCCTATCACTCACACTAAATTGCGATCAATAGTTTGTTTAGTGAAAACCTTAAGTTCGTTTCATCGTCACTTACCTTCCCTTTGTTCATTTTTGTTGAAAACCCTAAGCTCCACTGGTTTTCAAAGGATTTAACAGTATTTTGAAGGATTCGAAATGGGGTGGAATGTGCGCGAGGATCCCGAGGAAATGACGCCTACCTACTGAAATACAAATTTAAGTTCGTTTTGTGCTTTGTTACTTCCCTTTTTTTATTCAGGTTCTTTTGGGTCTGTTGATTCCAAAATCTTTGTTGGCGATGGGTGGGTTTTGTTGATTGTTTATTCGAAATGCTTATTGATATGTTGGAGAATGGGGGGTCCATTAGGTGTTTTGTTTATTGTTGTCGAGAAAAAGGTAGTTTGTTTACTGTGCTTTGGATAATTGTTTTCAAAAAGAAATTTGGTGCTTGTTCTAATTTTTGTTTTGTTTATTCCAATGTTGGATAATGGTGGGTCCTTTTGTGCTTTGTTTGATTGACATGGGTGGGTTGTTTTCTTTGTTTATTCAAAACGCTTACTTATTTGTTGGATAATGGGGTCTTTTTGGGTCTTCTTGTGTTTTTTTCTGTGATCTACTTTATCCTTTGCTTTGTTGTTGACTGTTGAATATGTTGAATTGCAATTGTTTACATTTGGGGTAGGTGTGGTCTTAAGGTTTGTTGGCTGCACTAAATAAGCTCTTTTTGGTGCTTTGTTTGTTGGTGAAGAAGATGCAGTCTTTTCTTTGTTTATTCAAAATGCTTACTGATTTGTTAGAAAATAGGGATCATTTTGGGTCTTCTTATGCTTTTTTTCTATTATGTGTGGTCCTAGGGTTTGTTGGCTTCACTAACTAGGGTTTTAACTAGGTTTTTTTTTAGTGAATTTCAGGTTATCCAGACTTATTTTCCATTCATTTGAATCATGGTGGGGAGCTCGGTCATGAATACTACTATTGGGGGGGGGGGGTGGGAAGTTGCATGTTTGTACCATACTTGACCAATCCCGAAACTACCAAGCACTGGTCAACTTCATACCTTCAAGGACCCACTGAGGGGTTCATGCAGAGGCACCCCTACTGAAGCACAAAAGTTTCCCTCCAACCAAAAGGTCAATCATAGCACGACACATGTCAACATCATAATAAATCTCATATAGTCCCACATCGACCGTGGACAAAATCTAGAGACTCTCCTTAACTATAAAAGAAGACCATTCTCCTACAATTAATCCCGAATGTCATTATTGTAATTAAACTAGTCATTAGAACCCACTGACGATAATTATGCTTAAACTTATGTATTTGTGCAAACTATTCACTATTAATGAGAACTCCTCTACTCCGTGGACATAGCCAGACTTATAGTGAACCACGTACATCTTGTGTTTGCTTCCTTATCTCTATCTATTTACATATTATCGACACCAGGTGACCGAAGCAACCGAGCGAAGGTGACAAACTTGACATTTTACGTTGTTCCAAAGTCTTCATTGATTTTGTACATCAACATTTGGCGCCGTCTGTGGGAAACGGTACTTATTCCTACTATCTCCAGCTTTGTCAAGCTAGTTTCCATCGTTCGTACACACTCTCCTTTGATCAGGCATCCCTCTTCAACATGAGAAGCGAAGCAAGCCATAGCACACAGAATGACACACCCATTATGCCTAGTGTGAGGCAGTGAAGGAAGGAACGAAAAAAGTTTGCTCTTCAAGCTAAAGTCAAAAAGCTAAAGGCTCAGAACAACAAGATAGCAATGAAGAATGAAATCCTCTTAGAGCAGTATGAGAAGCTCTTCGAAATGCTCCATGAGGCTAAGCATACTCAGTCACATGAGCCCATTGCCTCTGTGGACGTCAATTATCACCTAGGTACCCCCCAAAAAGGGGGTCACTGATCTTCAACATGGATACTCCTAATAAGAAGCGAGCTACTCATCAATGTGTTGATCAACGTGAGACTTCTTTCAACCCAGCTGCTTTGAATCGAAGCAGGAGAAGTGGAGGAAGGTGCCTCCTTGCAGAAATGGTGGAAAGATCAAAAGTTGTTTATTGCGATTGTCGAGACTTCTTGAGGCAGTGTCGAGAAAACCTCATTCACATAAGCTCAAGGATCAAAGACCCAAAGGTCATCAAATGGCTTAGTCTCCTACCATAATGTAGGATAACCCCTAATCAAGGAAAATAACGACAAGTCTTTGAGGGACAAGAAGGTGTAGGAAACTCGGGGGACTTCCAACAGACACGTCCCGAAAACGAGTATGGTGAATCCAGGGAAAAGCCACATGCCTTTAACCAAACTTCCATACTTCCAAAGAATAAATGAGACTTATGAAGAAAAGTTCTAATTATGCCTGACTCCACTTATGACCTCCTTATCTTGCAGCTCATCGAAGAATTGAACAGGCTGAAGACCGATCGTCAGGCCAAAATACCTTACTGGAATCAGCCAAGTCCAGGCCCACTAACAAGGATGATGATTTGCACCCCTTTACACGAAAAAAACTAAACAAAAGTTTGGCTTACAATCATATACCAGGAGGGAAGATCTAATTGAGCATATCCACGTCTTCGAATCTACCATGACATACTGAAGACACAATGATGAAGAACGATGTCTCATATTCCCCTCAACTCTCTATGGTGGAGCTCTCAATTGGTATTGTCGTCTTCAACTTAGTACTGTGGATTCATTTGCTGAGCTAAGAAGACTCTTCATGGCTCAACACATCTTCCAAGCTGATCGCTTACACTCTGTTGATGAGTTATACATCATTCGTTAGAAATCAGACGAGTCATTGCGTGAATATGTCGATCGCTCTAGCCACAAGTACTTTCGTTGCACTGAGGCAAATGATAAAACAACACTTAGGGTCTTCATGGTAGGCATGCGTGAATGCTTCTTCAAGTACATAGTCAATGTTAACACTTGAAAGACTTACTCTGACGAAATGATGCAAGCTTACAATCATGCATTTGCCGAGGCAAGGACATGCCAATGGAACCCTCATATGGTTAACCTCTATAAATTAGTAGGGAGTGAAAGTCAAGTTCTAACAAATGAGGAGGTTTTGACCATTCAGACATCCATTGCATCATTTCATGCTTTATTTAGCTACTCGCTAAGTCACCAAACGTATTCATCTCTTGGTAAGAGGAAGGATTTTTACTTTCAGCAAGTTCATTACAACAAGAGGGATAAAGGTTCGTATTAAGACAACCAGGGGTGAACGTACCTTCAACTATTATGACCGTAGGGTCAAGCCTCACTCTTTCAAAATGGGGGGACTAGGTGCTGAAGGAAATGCTATTATAAAAAGCCATATACATTACAAATGTTTTGACCCGTTTAAGATCTTTTGTAACATAAGCCATTCGGCAAATATTTAAAGAAAAGGGAACCCAGACAATTTCGTCTGAGTCTTTTACTTTCCTAGCACTGAACACTTGGTCTATGTTGGCCTACCTCTATACTCTAACTCAGAGCTTCAACATGCGTACTTTAACACAAAGTAAGTGAAATTAAGTGTTACAACTAACATGGTTCACATATCGAAAGCATGTTCATGCATAGCAAAACATTCATAAGCATCACTCATGTCAATCAACATAAACATTATACATTTCAACACATTCATACATAAGCCAACTAAGCTTCAAAAGGGTGTCAACATACTTTTTGTCCTTCGACACTTGCTACAATGTGCCTCGACGCCTTGCCCTTATTCTCACTAACCAGGTGATGAAGGAACTTACCTTCGTATCACAAACCAGGCAATGAAAGGTACAACTCGTACTCTAATATCATTCGACAACTTGCCACTCTTATCACCAACTAGGTGATGAAAGAACTCACCTTCGTATCACCAACCAAGCAATGAAGAGTACAACTAGTACTATTAATAAATATTTTTGCCTCAGCAACTCACCATTCTTCCCACTAACTAGATGAGGAGTGGTACAACTTGTACGTGTGAACTCTTGGCATTCACAAATAATCAAAAACCCTCAAGCCTTACAGCTTAAAAAAAGGATAAACAAGCTTAACTCAACCCAATTGGGGGAGCATTTATGCCCAACAAAGGTTATAGTCACCAACAAATCTTATTACAAGCCAACAAGGGCTTCACTACATGGTATACAAAGATCAAGCTCTTAAACCCTCTTGCATCTGCTCCAGACATTTCCCCTCTATAACAACACAAATACTACAACTTATAGAAAGCTTTGCACACTCTTAATCAAGAATGTGCGAAGCAAAATCAATTTATATGGTTCCTTCGAACCTTCAACTGCTACAATGTGTGGTTTGCCTCGCACACTTTTGCTCAAGAGTGTGGAAGCAAAATCTATATATGTTTCTCCCACATTTTCTTGTCCCTAGTTCAAAAAAAAAAAAGGAAGGGGGCTAAAAAAAAGTTTGCCAAAAAAAAA